TGGTCTTTTTTTTTTTTTTTTTTTTTAATGATTTTGGGTTTTGTTCCATATTTTTTTCCCACCCTACCCAAGATGTCCTATTGTGATCCTTTTCAGAGAGGTTGGCAGTGGTAGCTGGACACCATCTAGTTCTAGTCTCATGGTGGTGGAGGCTGGGGTTCATGTGTTCCATTAGTTCTTTCGACTAATTGTTTCCTTGCATCTTTGATTTTCTTCACTCTTCTTTGCTCCAGATGGGGAGAGACCAACTGTTGCACCTTACATGGCCATTCACAAGCCTTTAAGACCTCAGTTGCTACTCACCAAAGTAGGATGTAGAACATTGTCTTTGTGAACTATATTATACCAACTGACCTTGATCTTCCCTGAGACTAAGGTCCTGAGCCCCTAGATCCTGCAACTCATTCCCTTAAGGTGTTTGGTTATGGTTAAGAAGATTTAATAATTTTGCCCCTTGTATGCTCTATTATATTCATGGAAATATTTGAAGCACCTATATAAACACATATGTGGAAATATCCTCTGTCAAACCTATATATTCATGGGTATAGTCCCATTTACCTTCCCATACCTGTTCAGCTTTCATGACTATCTATGTATTCAGTTGTAGATTTTTGTTATTACTGTTATTGTAGGATTGTGTATGTAACAGTATTTATCTTTTTTGCCTTTAACTCTTCTGCTTTTCTAGTGTCTTCCTTTGCCTTGATCATTTTGTGCTGCTTTCCCTTCACTCAAGTTAATATATGTCTACCTTTTAGCTAGGGATTTACCCTCTCTTACCCATTTATCTCTGGTAATCCTCATGTAAATCTATTTCTGCATGTAAATCTATTCTTGACATTTTACCATAGTAGTCTCATAAAATATTTGTCCTTTTGTGATTAATTTCACTCAGCATAATGTCTTCTAGGTTCATCCATGTTATGAAGTGTTTTCCCAGATTCATTGTTATTCTTTAACATTACATAGCATGACATTGTGTGTATGTACCATAGTTAGTTTATCCATTCACACATTCATGAGCACCTAGGCTATTTCCATCTTTTTGCTATTATGAATAATGTTGTGATGAACATGGGTGCACATGTATCTGTTCATGTCATGGCTTTCATTTCTCTAGGTTACATTCCTAGATGTACATTGCTGGAGTATATGATATCCCTATTTCCAATTTTTTAAGGACTTGCTACTCCATTTTCCACAGTGGTTGTACCATTTTACAGTCCCACCAACAGTTTATGAAAGTTCCAGTCTTTCCACACCCTCAACAGCATTTGTTGTTTTCTGTTTTTTTTTTTTTTTATTTAAATCTTTGTTATTAATGGTGAAGTGAGATGGTATCTCATTATTGTTTTGATCTTCATCTCCCTAATAGCTAAGTATAATGAGTATTTCTTCATGTGTTTGTTGGTCCCCTAAATATCTTTTTTGGTGAAGTGTTTGTTCATGTTCTCTGCCTAGTTTTTAATTGCCTCTACTAAGGCCCAATAACAAGTCAAAAACTGTTTCTCAAAAGGAAGGTAATTATCTACATAGGATAAGAGAGCTTTGCTCCAAAATCCCAAGGGTCTGTGCTATTATTCACCAGTAAGGACCTGCCAAATACTCTAAACAGAATATCAATGTGACACTGGCACTTCAAGTACCATTGGATCAGCTGGATCATATGGCCCAAGTAGCAGAGCAGATTGTATAGCAGCCTGAACCTATTGCAGAGCCTTCTCTTATTCTGGGCCCCATTCAAAACTAACAGCTTTTCAAGTTTCTAGACTAGAGTAATACATTCCAATGAGGGATATTTTGTCTCCAAAATCTAAACAGACAACCAGGTGGTGTGCTTCCTTTTTTAGCTGTGGGAAGGGCTATATGTAGTAACTTATCCTTACTTTTATAGGAATATCTTGACATGCCCCACACCACTGGACCCCTAGAATTTTCTCTGAGGTGGAGTGTGCTTGAATTTTTGTTGGGTTAATTTCCTATCCTTTAGCACACAACTGTCTTATCAATAAGTCTAGAATCATTGATAGCTCCTCCTTACCAGATTTAATCAACATAATTTCATCAATGTAATGGGTCAGCATGACATCTTATGAAGGGGAAAAGCAATCAAGGTCCCTATGGACTAATTATGACATAGTGTTGAAGCGTTGATACACCCCTAAGGTAGGATGATGAAAGTGTATTGCTGGCCTTGTGAGTTAAAGGCAAACTGCTTCTGATGATACTTCAAAACCAGAATTGAGAAAAAAGCATTGGCCAGATAAATAACCGCATACCAGGTACCAGGAGATGAATTAACTTGCTAAACAATGAAACCACATTAGGAACAACAGCTGCTACTGGAGTTACCACCTGATTAAGTTTATAATAATTGACTGTCATTCTCCAAGATCCTTTTGTTTTTGCACAGCCAAATAGGTGAGTTAAATGGGGATGTATTAGGAATTACTACCACTCCTCAGAAGGAAGGTTGGGCAATCTACGTCTGTAGTGATACTGCCTTAGAAACCCAAGGACAGGTCTCCATGAGTGAGGTCCGACTCGATGGCACATAACAACAACAACAACATATCTTTCAAGTCCTTAATGGTGGCACTAATCTTTGCAATCTCTCCAGGAATATAATATTGCTTTTGGCTTATTATTTTCTAGACAGAAATAGTTCTAATGGCTTCCACTTGGCTTTTTCTATCATGATAGCCCTTACTCCACATTCCAATTTGTATTCTGAAACTGGGAAAATCATGACAAGATGGGTTTGGGGACCTTCTGAGCCCACTGTAAGATGGACCTGAGCTAAGACTCCATTAGTAACTTTATCTCTATACACCCTCACTTTGACTGGTGAGCCACAGTGGCATTTTGGGTCTCTTGGACTCCAGGGTAAGTATCCAGTAATCCCCCCAAAATCTGATCATTTTCTTTTCCCCAATCAACAGTCACTCTCATAAAAGGCCATAGATCCCTTTGCGGAAGGCTGGGAGAAAGACTAACAGTATAAATTTTTGGCAGTGTAGTTGTTTCCTTTCTCAAGGCGATCTGGCCTCCCCTTCACTCAAGGGTTTGTGGGTCTGAAAACTGGCTCAAGTCTGGGAATTTATTGACAGGCCATGACTCTATATTCTGGTGATTCAAGTTAGACTCCTGCTCACTCAACCTAGAATTCTTCTGCTTGTACAAATCAAGTAAATATTTAGGAGATTTCCCATCTATTTCACTCCTAGGGACACCATATCTAAATAGCCAACACCAAAGTCCACATGAGTTAGACTCTTCTGATTACTGCTTTGACCCTGCTGTCCATTACAGTAGCCACACCCACTTGTCTTTGTTGATTAAGTGCTGCCACTTGGCCCCTACTACCATGGGGTCCAATCATCTCCATTGTACTTAAGTCTTAACTCAATTAGGGCAGTTCCTACGGTCAAATCTGGCTTACTTAAAATAGCAAGTACAGCAGTCTTCAAGGATGCTGGGGGCTTCCTTCACAAATTTGTTCCTCATTGTAGTGGTAAAAAGTGTGTCTTCTGGGAACCCCATGTGTGGGTTGGTGGCTGTAATCTGATAAATCCATTCTAACATGCCAATTTCCCTAAGCCTTTAGATACCTTCTTCTACATTATACCAAGGCAGGTCACAGCCTTGGTACTCCAACTCGACTTAGCATAGGCCAGCATATAAGCATGTTTCAGTAAAAAAATCATATAACCTGTTAGATTCTTTCCCAGCCTCTTGAGCTAAAACATTGAATGAAAAATCTGTGCTTACTGGGCCCAAATCAATAAACTCAGACTGATCTTTTATGCTCCTTTCACCATTATCCCACAACCTTAACAGCCATTTCCACACATATTCTCCAGGTTTCTGTTTGTACGTATGAGAAAAATCAGGCAGTTCTTTTGGAGTGTAGCATACCTCTTCCTGGGTCACACATTGCACTTCACTCTTTGGGGATCACTGGAATTTAGTCTAATTATAGGTCCAGAAGCAACAATGGGTGGTAGGGGTGGTTCCTGGGAACATGCAGCAATGTCTTGTAAGGCATCTGCCTCAGGCAATGCCATGCATAATGCACTAGGTGCCACCCCAGATGATATTTCAGATAATGATTCATCAGGCACAGCTGGGTTAGTCCCATCAGATGGGGGTAAGAGGGCTGGTTCTGCTGGCAGGTGTGACACAGTGAAATTTAGGGGATCAATGTCCCCAGCTTCCTGATTATCTGCCCATATGTTCTCATCCCAAGTTTCAGGATCCTATTTCTTCTCAATGAATGCCCTCACTTTAACTTCAGACACCATTCAAGGTTGGCAATATAATTGGCATAATTCAGCCACTTTTATGATAAAACTCTGTGTTTGTTTTTTCACAATATCAGCTCTGTAACTACAAGAAATAAGTCTTTCTTTCAGGGCACAAGTGAAAACAATCAGGTCTTTTATGTGGCACTTGGGCTGTGACTCTGAAGCCCTGAGCTCATCTTGTTCTTTCACCACTTTGGTCTAATAGGACCAACCAACCAGTTTCCTTATACTTCTCATTCTGAAAATGAAAAAAAAAAAAAAATTGCAATTATCAAACATGAGAACACCCAGAGCCTTACTTTTCGCCAGTACTTGGTGGTATTATTTTGTGTATTAATTTTGCCACCTCACTCCACAGATTAGCAGTGCCCTTTTTACTAACAGAGGCAGAGTCATCAGTGTCTTTACTATTAATCAGACTTAAGAACTAATTTAGAAATCTCATCCTTATGATTTTGTTTTTCTAGACCCACTCTTAGTGCCAAATGTATTAGGGCAGGTTCTCAAGAGATGCAAAAACCAATGAAATATACATACATACATACGTGTATGTGTGTGTTGTTGTTGTTATTTGCCGTCGAGTTGGCCCCGACTCATAGCGACCCCTCCTTGGGTTTCCGAGGCAGTATCACTACGGAAGTAGGATTGCCCAACCTTCCTTCTGAGGAGTGGCTGGTGGGTTTGAACCGCCAGCCTTCTGGTTAGCAGTCAAGTGCCTTTAGGCACTATGCTACCAGAGCTCCTTCATGTATGTGTGTATGTGTGTGTAAATATATATGTGTGTGAGAGAAATTTATCTGAAAGAAATGGCTCATGCAATTGTAGAGACTAGAAAGTCCCAAGTTCGTGAGTCAGAATTCACGCTGGGGGCTTCTCCTGACTTACGTAGCTGCAGTGGCTGATGAACTCAAGATTGGCAGGCAATGCAGCAGGCTGTTGGCTTTGGAGGCTGACAATCCAAGATCAGCAGGTAAAATGGCAGGCTTCTTAGATTTATCAAAGAAACTCATAGGACTAGTTTACTGCATCAAGAGGCTTGGGACCATAGTTTTGAGGGATAATTTAGTTAATTGGCATAACATAATTCACAGTGATAATGTTCTACATCCTAGTTTGGTGAAAACCATCTGGGGTCTTAAAAGCTTATGAGTGGCCATCTGAAATATAACTATTGGTCTCTACTCATATGGTGCGAAAGAGAATGAAGAAAATCAAAGGTTCAAAGAAGAAACTAGTTCAAGGAACTAACCTACACAAACCACACCACTTCTAACCTGGACTAGATGAATTAGATAGTGCCTCACTACAACTACCAAGTGTTCTGACCACAGTTACAATAGAAGGTCCCAGATAGAATGGGAGAAAAATATAGAACAAAACTCAAATTCCTGAAAAAAAGGCCAGAGCTACTGGGGTAATAGATGCTAGAGGAATCATCAAGACTATTGTTCTAAGATGTCACTTGAGCTGGGAATTCAAGCTATTTTGCAGGTTACCGTTCAGCCAAATAATAGATTGGCTTATAAAATAAATAATATCACCTGTGACTAATGTGCTTCCTTAAACAATTAACTGTAAGAGACCAATCAACAGTTACCCAAAAGTAAAGATGAGAGGCAAGAAGGGGAAGGGAAGCTAGATGAATGGAAACAGAACAAATAGAATGGAAATGTGGATGCTGACACATTGTAACATTTATAACCAATGGAACAGAACAATTTACATAAAAATGTTAAAGGGTAATTTAATTTGCTGTGTTAACTTTCACCTAAAACACCAGAAAATATCATTTAAAAATAAGAAGAAATTTGCCTTCCTTTTCAAAGCTCTGGAATAACCTATATAGTCTTTGAAGGTTTAGTAGAATTTCCCTATGAAACCATCTGTGCCTCATGCTTTTTGGGGAGGTAGTTTCTTAATAACTTTCTCTATTTATTACATAGGAATAGGTTTTTTCATTTTTATAATAATGGTTAATTTTGATAATTTGTATTTTCTTAGGAAATCATCCATTTTCTCTGAGCTTTCAAATTTATTTGCATAGCACTCTGTAAAGGAGTTGCTTATGATTTTTATAATGTCTTCTGTTTCAATCGTCATTTCTCTCCTGTCATTTTTATTTTGTATATTTTTGCTTTCTTTTCCTTTTTTGTGGATCAAGTTAACTAGTGCTCAGCTATTTCATAACCTAAAGCAACACAGGATTTTTAATTGAACATCATCAAAATAAAAAACTTCTATGCTTCAGTAGACACTACAAAAAGGGCATAGGGGTAGTGTCCTCTGACCTCCCCTAACTTCATGATGGGGAGAGAGAAGAATTAACAGCAACAGCCCAAAGTTGATTCCCATAAGATGGAGTCAGACATGCTGCCACCCTCCAACCTTACCAATTCTGACACCAATCATCCCTTCCATGACACTCACTACTTCTCTGCTGGGTTTGATAATTCGTTGTAATGGCCACACAGAACTCACAGACAACCCTCACAATTATGGGGTGTATTAGGGAAATAACAGGTTACAATTCAGGTACAGGAACGTTCAGGATACAATTCTTCGATCAGGACAGCCTCACTTTGGCCTGGCCTCTGCCCTGCTCAGGCAAGTATTACAAAATTCTTTCAGCTCTGCCAATAGTTGCACTCAGGCACACCCTACTCTGCCAGCAAGTCTCTTGCCCAAAGGCACTCAGCTTTGTCACTCTGTGGGATGGAAAGCCCGCCACTCTGTCTTGTGCTGGTCTCTTGGGTCTGTTGCTGTAGTCTTGCTGCTGTCTCACTGCCATCCCTGCTATTGTCTCAGTGCAGAGATCTTCGGTCCAAGGACATGTTCCACTCCAGGTTTTTCTCTGCCTTGATGGTAGTGAGATCCCCCTCTCCTACCTCTGGGAGGGCTCAATTTAAGCCTAGCAGAATGATAAAACTGACCAAGCTCCACATTGTTGTTGTTGTTGTTGTTTGCCATCGAGTCGGCCCCGACTCATAGCGACCCCTCCTTGGGTTTCCGAGGCAGTATCACTACGGAAGTAGGAATGCCCAACCTTCCTT